TGCCCCGGGGTGTCCCTGCGCGGGCGGGAGCCCGGGTTCTGCAGCTGCGTTCCACGTTTTGAGGTTGCTCTCCCTTTAATTGCAGGCAAATGTGCAATACCAAGATGTCGTCCCTTACGGATGCCTCTTCTGTCACCACTTCGGAGCAAGAGCTGCTGGTCAGTAGCTCTCTTGGATGCGCGAGTTTTTCATGCTTTTTGCAGTTTTTATCTGCTAATTCAGAAGGGCCACTTTGCTCAGCGAGCGATGGTTAGAGAAAAGCCGGGAAATCCGGTGAGGGTGGTCCCTCTTTGATCCTGTAATTGTGAAGCAAATCTTTCTCATTCGTGGTTGAGAGTTGAGGGCGATGGTTTAGGTCTAGACTGTTTCCTGGAGACCTTTGATGGTCAAGTTGCTTTCTTTTAATAAAAAGGATCTTATGGTCCGATTTGATCATGGTAAGTATTTTGTGGTGGAAATTGTTAACAGTTTGTAACTGAAGAGTTGCGGAAGATCTCCGTTGTGCAAAACACTGTTTGTGAAATAATCTTGTCATTACAACTGAAGGTTTTTGAATTTGGCATTTTCATTTTCGCCTCTATTGGAATCCATAAGCAAGTTGTAATAAGAGTTTTCGTTTCTGTTTATGGCTTTGCATATCCAGGCTTCCCATGGTACAGTGACAGTCCTGCTGTCCTGGCTTTCTATGTAAGTTTTCCTGAGGATGGAAGCCTATGTGTTATACCTGAGATGTGGGTTAAAAACGGCATATGTACAATGACGGTTAAACTGGATTACTTTTTGTGGAAGGGTAAATCTTAAAAGTCTGGACTGATAGCAGAACTTCAAAAAAGCGAAGTAACCGAACAGCAGACTGTTCGAAGTTGATTTTTTTTTCGTTTGTTTCTTCTTTTTTTTTTTTTAAGTCGTCATAATGTGATGCTACCATCTGCAGTCAGATCTGCGTGGCAGAAGAACTTCATACTTGAAGGAGTCGGGGAGAGAGGGCTGGGGAGTAAAAGGATCTGAACCCATGGGTCTAGTGGATTCAGAGATCTGAAAGTGTGCTTTGCCTTCCTATGCTCAGCTGTCATTAGTAGTTTAATAAGTTACTGTTTGCTTCCTTTGTGAAACTGTAATATATGCCGCATGCTCTAAATAATTCAGCACTTAGGAAGGGGTGAACAGACATCTAACGTTGTCCACAAGCTTGTTTATTGTTTTCATTATGTGTGATTCTTGCAACTAATCTCTTGCTAATGCACTGAAATTTAACGTTGGTTTTAGCAGATATTTGAAGTGGTATGTAGGGAATTTCCCGTCCCTTCCCTTAAGCATTTATTCCTTGTCTCATGATATTTTATTCACACTTTCCTATAAAATGTTTCTTTTCTATAATATCTTTTCTTATTTGAGGGTATATATTAGGATAGCTAAATATTAGCCTGTTCTTAGAATAATTATGCTGTTGTTAAAGTGGCAGTACTAGAATATACTGCACTGGGAACCGTCAGTGGCTCTGCAGGCATTTTCTTGGCAGTTGTGGCAGCCTCTGCAGCTTGTTCTCGTCTCCTGCACTGGTACTGGCAGAGCTGTTTGTGGAACAGTGCAGTGAATGCGATCAGGACACTGGGCTGGCCAGAAGGGGAAAAAAAAAAAGAGGGGGGGGAAGTGATTTATTTATTTATTTATCTATCTTTTCCCTCCTCTGCCTCAAAAATTGTCATAGACTGGCTTGCGCAGATGCAACTCTGCTGGCACAGTGGGTGGGCGGGAGGCCATTGCAGAGATAGGAGTGATTGAAATATGATGGAAAGGACAGGGTGTGCTTCTGCCAGCTAAGAAAAGTCTTCAGAGGTAAAGCAGCCCAGCTGGCAAATGCAAAACCGCAGCCCCAGAAACTGTCACAGGAAGAGACTAGGAAAGAGGCCGACCAGTAGTGTTTTGCTTTGTGACTTGCACTCTAGACTTGACAGTTAGTCACAAAGGTCCGTTTGCCTCCCTCCCTCCCTCCCCTTTGGGAGCCACTGTAATGACTGAAGGAGTGAAGCTGAATTCCCCAGGACCCTGCCCCGTACTTGGAACGACCAAATGAATCCTGTAGCTCAAGTCGAGGAATCTGTATGTACCAATGAAAGACTGGGGTTTGAGCTAAGGTGTACAATGTACGAGAAGTTCAGTATGATTTGGTTTGTGTTATTTTCTTTTAAGTTTAGCTTTGCAAAGTAGAGAACTTGGATGTGGATAGGTTTTAATGTAGTTGTGTGTTTTGTGTATTAGGTTAATACGGAAGGAGGAAGCCAACCTGTGTAAATAGTGTTTTGTTTGGTGAATAATTGGTGCATACCGTTTTTCTTCTTCCCCACACAGGTTAAACCAAAGCCACTATTGCTGAAGTTGTTGAAGTTAGCTGGTGCAGAAAAGGACACTTTTACTATGAAGGAGGTGAGAACTTCTAATCACTAAAGGTAGATTACAGTGAATACAGATAGATTGTTCTTTTGTTTCGGGTGAATGAGGAGCAGTGTAGTTCACAGCTTATCTAGAAGATATTGGGACAAGGTATTGTTTTTATTCTCCTGCTGACTTGTTAGGTGGAGTTTAGCAAGTTTCTCAAAATCTGAACAAAAGTATCTGGTGGTCAGTAGAATAGCAGAGTACTTGGGGAATGATAGATCAAAATCTGCAGCTCAGAGGGAGTTTTAGGCAATCAAAGTCAGAAGAGCAAATCTCAATGAATTTAATGTGTTTTCTCTTACACTTAAACTTAACAACAGAACCTGGGTATTTAATGTCTGTGTATGTCATTTATTTTACAGGTAATATTCTATCTTGGACAATATATTATGTCTAAACAATTATATGATGAAAAACAGCAACATATTGTACACTGTGCAAATGATCTCCTGGGGGATTTATTTGGAGTAACAAGCTTTTCAGTAAAAGAACACAGGTAAAATCGGATTTTTTTCTGAGAGTCTGGTTGTGAAATAACGGAGAACATAATGCGTATGGCCTTTTTTAACTCTTTGCATCTTCAAAGATGGTAAGCTCTCTTTTATAATTACATGTAGCTAACTTGCAACATCTCTTTTCTTTATCCCCATTTAAGGAGACTATATTCAATGATTTCCAGAAATCTGATAGCAATCAATCAACAAGGTAAGCTAGTTTGGGAGGACCTTCTGTTTTGGGAAATAGTAGCAGGGAAAATATAACTTTAATGCATCTTGCATGTAGCAATCAGATAACATCGATCTCTCCATAATTAGCTATTTGGCTTTGCACACTACTGTCCAGAGCCATCACAAATAGTGAATCAAAGCAAACGCTGTTTCTTCTGGGTGAGAAAAAAGAATAAAAATCTGAACAGCATTTGGGTAGTTTTGTCTGACTAGAACCAGAACAAGCACAATCAGAGCTGAACACAAAGAGGACTAAATTGAAAAATTAGTTGTTTGTTTGTATTTCTTACAGATAAAGCCCTCAACAACGTAAAAAGTTTAATATCAAAAATTAGCTTCTTGAACTTGTGCCAGCAGTGAAGTCAGGGCAAATGCTTTTTATTCTTTCTGTTAGTGTTCTGTTTTAATTTTCAAAACTGAATGTGGAGTACATTTAGAACTGGTCGCCCTCAGCTATACTGAGTCATCTTTTAAAAGGTCTGTATACTTAAAAAAAAGTAGCTTTGTGGTAACTTTGTGGCTAGCCACTCCATAAATGGAGAATCGTTACATACAGTCATCTTTCCTGCAGTATAAAAATGCTCAATATAGCTGTAATTTTTGGCTAATGCAAGGAGTGAACCAGAAGTTAAACAATGGAAGCCATTTTGTAAATTGGCTTCTAAATCCATATTAGGACACCCTTTGTTTCTGATTCTTCCTGAAGGCAAGTGTTCAGCTGCTGAGGATGGGAAACATGCTCTCTTTATTAACCCTTATTGTTACGCTTGCAAACTTAAATTATCTCTCAAATTCTTTCTGGAAAGATAATTTATTAATTCAGGATCAGTCTGGTAGTAAGCATATCTAACTAACAACAGTTAATTTTTCTTCTATTTAATGAACTTAATTTTTCTTCTATTTAATATCTTTTTAATTCAGTGCTTCCGTAAGATGATAGCTAGTAAAATATACTTTGGAGAGGAAGAAGTGTAAAATATTTTCTGCCTGTATTCTTTCATATCTGCAGAATCCCAGCTAATGCACAGCCTTCATTTGAAGGCATTTATAATATTCTGAGCTGCTTTGCAGTCGAGATTTCTTCTTCCTCCCCGCTTTCCCACTTCAGTAACGTTACAGGGAAAGTGCTGCACACATCTGAAAAGCAAAGGAACGGGTTTTTTCCGTTGTTGCAAAACGTCTGGATTGTAAGTTCTGTTTAGAATTTACTTTGTAAATGCAGTGTGCAGTTAACTTCTCTCTTGCTTTTACTCTAATGTTTTTGAGCCTGAAATTGAATTTTTCTGCTGTGCTGTATTATGGTGGTGTGGTTTGGTTTGGTTTCAGACTCTATGCTTGCTGACACACCTGAGGATGATGCCAGATTTCAGCTTGAAGAAGAACATGTTCTAAAGGTGATTTCTTTTTTTTTTTTCTTTAAATACATGTTCTGAGATGTAAGTAAATTCTATTTAGTTTTGCGTGATGATGTCAAGGTTTAGATGCAGTTAGTTGATTCTAGCCTTTTACCTCATATTTGTGCTCAGGCTTACTCAGTATTTCTGTTAACCAGGAATCTATGCAAGAGTTAGAAGAGAAGCAGACTTCATCAAATGTGACTTCCCGACCAACTACATCTTCTAGGAGGAGAACGCACAGTGAATCTGGTATGTGCAGATTTATGATGCAGAGCTTTCAGTAGCATGGCCACTTAGGGAAAAAAAGTACGTTCTGTTGCCTTACTGAGTTTGAAACGTGCTGCGAAATACTATGCATGTTTCTCCGCTTATCTAAAACAAAATGTTCAGTCTGGAAGAAATACGCAATTCCTTGCATTGCCCCAGTATCATGTTACAGTTCAGATCTCTAGAACTGTTAGCAAGATGATGGAATGACTTGTTCCACAGATCTGTTAAACTTGTTCACATCAGCAGGACTTAATCAGTTGTGTTGTCTTCATGATGAGAACACTTTTGTTTGTAATAGGCTGATGTAGTCAAATTCATTTCAGTTCCCTCTGTAGACAGCCACAAAATTTTACATTTTGTTTGCTCTCCAAAAGCAATTTTCATTGGATTTCAGTTGGTGGCAAAGACATCAAAGGTCTGGTAGTAACATGGGATGATTTTGGATATATTTAGGTACCTGACCATTCCTTAAGCACTTTTTTTTAAAGTTTGGTGACTTAAGCATCGTATTTGTCTCCTCTTTCTCTTTACTGTGGTTATTCAGTAATCACTGGCAAATACATTTTCAAAATGTGGAATGTTTCCTCCAGTAATCAGCAAATAACAAGCTGGTCAGCATAAACCTGAGTAACTTTAAATTTCTCAATGGAAGTGTTCTCTACAGTTCTACTTAAATACTATTCTGTGGAATTTCTTACATTGGTTTGTTCCATCACTTACTTCTGTTACCTCATGACTTGATGGTTGTAATTACCTGGGCAGTGATAACCTTCTGTCGCTGCACAGAACTTTCTTTTCTTCAGTTGCTCGGGAACATTTTTCAGTTCCTCGGCTTCTGCCTAGTGTCTTTTTTGTGTTCATCATAGGCCACTGTTATGTTAGTCAGTCCAGAAACTGTGCTGCGTTGCTGAGCGGTTTGCACTAAATTAAAAGAACATTTTAATGTTGTAACAAAAACTGGTGAAAGGATGGAAAGTCTCGGTTAAACATCACAACCTGTAATATTTAGGCATGACCCAGAGCACATAAGGTCCTGTGTTGTGCTTACTTATTGTAGGTTTGATTATTAACTCTTGTCTTTGCATCCATTTATTAGTTTGTTACAACCTTAAAAGTTCTTTTAATATAGTGTTTTTATATACACTTTTTTTCTAATTTATAGGAAATCTTCCTTTTAAACCACTATTCTTGTTAAATTGGGATGGTAGCGGCTCCTTTGGAGCCGCTTATATAGTGTATAGAAACCTTGTGGTGATACAGTATCAGTACAGCATGGAGCCATGACAACTAAATGAGGACAACGATGGACAGGAGCAACCCTTGGGCCTGGGGGCACCAAATTTGGTGGGGCTCTCAGGGCGAAAAAAGAAAAGAGAGGGGCTGAGCCAAGAAGCACCAAGGGAAAGTAAGAGAAGTCTCAAAGTATGTACAAGTGTTTTGTTCTCTTTTCTTTTACAATGAAAGATTCAAGACTTGAAGACTCGTGGATTGTCAGGGTGTGTTTTGCAAGGCAAGGGAGAAGCTGGGCAATAGAGGGTGGGTGCAAAAGGCACCTGTAGGGAGGCAGCAGGCTCTTGCTGAGGTCTGTTGAACCAAGTTGTCAGGCCTCTTGGGGAGTTTTCACTCCGCTGCACTTACATACTGACTTTGCAATGCCTTTTTAAATAAAATTGTTTCTTACCAAACACTCTAAAAGTCAGTGGAGCTGAATTTTGACTTACCTACCCCTCAAATGCTGTCCCCCTACTCCTTATGCTGCTGTAGGTCATTGTTTCAAAACGTGATATATCTAAAAAGCATTGTCTTTTTGCCTTCAAACCAAGCATATTTAATAAGCACAGCTTAAAGCAATGCTTTCAGAGTTCAATTTTTACATAGTAGCCTTGAAGATTTTCTTGCTAGTGTGTGGTGAAAGTCATAATGGTTTGTTATAAAAAACCTGTTGAGTAAATACAATTATATATAGCGCAAATGTTAACTGATACATTTGTTGAGGTATCTGAAACTTGAACCTGAACTTATCTTGCCTAGCATGAGGTCCTTTGTATGCATGTGACATGGGAGCTAGTTGCTGTGTCTCCCTGCAAATTCTGGGATGGGCTCAGAAGCCCTCTGAAAGTGCCTTTCTGTCTACTGACTGTAGAGGGAGCTAGGACAATTAAGATCCTAACTGTATTCCTTAAAATTAGAAGGGGTTTAATGTGTCGTGTGTGAAGTGGAGTAAGAATGCTTCCAAATTCGCAACTATTTTATTTCCTGCATGTGGAGACTGCCATTTACAAGCTGTACTGATGGGACAAGTGGGGAAAGCCAAACCCTGAAATACTGGTGTCAGGAATGTTTCACACTTCTCATGTTTCTCAATGTTACTGTGTCTTTTTTTTAAATAAGTTTTTGGTGCCTTTACTTTTTTCCCCATAAAATAATACTGAATGACTTTATTTTTCTTAAATTCCTATATAAGTAAATTATATTTTAAGCTTCTGTTAAGAATGTTCAAAACTGCACATTGCATGGATGTTTTTGGAGTAATTAAAATTCTTGAATGTGCCCAGAAGAAAACGCTTCAGATGATCTGCACAGTGACAGAAGAAAACGACACAAGTCGGACAGCATTTCGTTGACATTTGATGAAAGCCTCTCATGGTGTGTAGTCAGTGGTCTGTGCCGTGAAAGAAGCAATAGCAGTGATTCAACAGATTCTCTCTCCATTCCTGTAAGTCAAAATACATATTTTTGTGGTACAAATTTTGCAGATACCACAAGTACAAATATGCATCTTAAAACGCCATGTTCTTAATTAAAAGCAGCAGTGCCTTCAGTGGTGTCTGAGGAGAGAAAGGAGGCTGAAAGAAAAGCTGGTGTGTGGGTGGAGTGGGGTCTTTCATAGATCTGCTGACAAAGCCGAAGTGAAATCGTTAAAAATACTAACTCTGAATATTCTTTAAAAAAAAAGACTCTTGCTGCTTGGCGCAGTGTTGAAAAAATGTGAGATATATTTTGTGTTTTAAAATAAGTGTTTCTTAGAATGCTAAGAGAAGAAAAGCAGTCACAGGTGTTCCATAATTCAGAATAGTTGGTGCTTCTGGGCATCTGGTACTTCCGGTACAGCTTTGGTAACTGTACATAGTAGTGCCCTGATGATGTGCTGTATTAATTTTTCCAAGCCTTTACTGTTTTTTTTTTTGTTGTTGTTTTCAGGAAACACTTGAGGCAAATTATCTGTGGTTAGGTTAAGTCATGAAGAGCTAAACTAACAGTATTCCTAGTCACATACTGTATTCTGAATTGACAGAACTAATACTGTATCTTCACTCTTGCTATTTTATAATTGTTTAGCCACTGTCTCAAATGAAGGTTAACAGAGTTGATGAGAGTAGAGAATTTAATGACATGCCGCCAAAAGACAGCATCTTCTTGCATCTGTTCTTTCACTTCTTAGAAGAGCCTTTATGAAATAGTAGTAGCAGTCTTCAAGCCGGCTGTAGGTTGACTGCAGCCTCTATTACAGAGCTGACCAAAGGCTTTCACATCTGGCTTTATTTTGACCTACCTATGATTCGTTTGTCTCATAGAAGATGTTCTATCTAACAGCAGGTGGTGTCATTTCTTCCATAGCTAATTAAACTGAGTAGTTCGGTTTTATCTTACGAGCTATCTTAACAGTAATGGTTATGGATATGGACTAGTGAGGCTGAATGTGTACTTTCTTTCTCTTTTTTTTCAGGATCTTGATGCCAGTTCATTAAGCGAAAACTCTGATTGGTTTGACCACAGTTCCGTTTCAGACCAGTTCAGTGTAGAGTTTGAAGTCGAGTCTATTTATTCAGAAGATTATAGCCATAATGAAGAAGGACAGGAGCTCACAGATGAAGATGATGAGGTACATATTTGTTTTGTTTGGGATTTTTTTGACTTGGAGGGGTGAGAGGGGGAAGGAAACTTACAGGAATACTTCATGTTGAGATTCCAACAAGAAGAAGTAACTCTTCAGGTTTATTTCAGGACCGTGTGTGCTATGTCACAAACTGCACCCAGTCGTTCATTAAATCAAATTACATGCCTGTGCAGTTGGGTCGCCATTATACACCCACCAGGCAGTAACCAGGATGGTGCTAAGGCTTTCCATAGGCTCTGAAACAGTCTCTTGACAGTCTGGAAGAGTCTGTTTGACTTCAGTCACTAGCTGTTGGAGTCGATGGCAGCATGTGTACTTGAGTCTATTCCTGCATGTTTAATTATAGAAGTATGTGTTGAGCTTTGACAACACTTTCAATAATGAAAACTTTCCTAGTAACTCTCAAAGGGATATTTCTGAATCATTTGCCTCCATGAATATAAATTTCATAGAGATGCTGAAACAATTTTAGACATTTTCATTAGGAGGCAAGAAGACAGTAAAATTGTCATTACCATCATTTCAAGAGATCTAGATATCTGGAATGTCAGGACTGAAGTGGGAAATTATTTTTTTTTCTGGGTTAGTTTTCTGTTACTTCAAAGAGGTGAATCAGCTCATGGCAGGATTAGTTAAGTACCAGAGGCAGAATTTGCCAGAGACATACATGATTGTGGTACTTGAAGGGCTGAATGGAACTGACTGTACTGATGTACACCGGCTTACAGTGCTGTGGAGCTGCACCCTGAGACAAGACAGTGATTTGGAGGAAGAAAGGCTTGAGGTGTGTCTGTGCCCCCAGCAGCAGTGTTGAGAATTGCAGAATGATTGGGGTTGGAAGGGGCCTCTGGAGGTCATCTTATCCAACCCCCCTGGCTCGAGCAGAGCTGATTGCCCAGGGCCATGTCCAGGCAACTTCTGAATATCTCCAAGGATGGAGGCTCCACAGCTGCTCAGAACTGAGCACTGTGCCAGTGCTTGGTCACCCTCACAAGTAAAAAAAGTGTCTCCTGATGTTCAGACAGAACCTCCTGTGTTTTAATTTGTGCCAGTTGCTTCTGGTCCTGTCACTGGGCACCACTGAAAAGAGCCTGGCTCCGTCTGCTTTACACCCTCCCTTCAGGTATTTATATACATTGATAAGATCCCCCCTGAGCCTTCTCTTCCGCAGGCTGAACGGTCCCAGCTCTCTCAGCCTTTCCTCATGTGAGAGCTCCTCCAATCCCTTAATCATCTTAATGGCCCTTTGCTGGACTCTCTCCAGTAGCTCCATATCTCTTGTACTGGGGAGCGCAGGACTGGACACAGTGCTCCAGGTGTGGCCTCACCAGTGCTGAGCAGAGGGGAAGGATCACCTCTATTCTAGAAAGTGGTACCTTCTACCTGTCTAGTCTACATTTTTCTTCAAACTGTGTGTTACAAGTGTGAACAGAATTCTTTTCCCCTAAACCAGTCATCAGATTTTGTGGAGTTATTTGCTAACATAAATTAACTTATGTGCACTATTTATTACATTTCATTAAAAGTCTATCAGAAAATCTATCAGATTAAAAATCTACCAGATTTTTACTTGGATGCCAAAAAACAGTTACATCAGTACTTTTTTTTATTATTTATTTAAACCAGGTATATCAGCTGACTATTTACCAGGATGAAGATAGTGATGCTGATTCATTTGATGAAGATCCAGAGATTTCTCTAGCTGTGAGTAAAAACTTGACTGGCAAAGCATCATAAGTTGGGTGAATTGACAGAGTAGATCAAGGAGTATAGGTGAATTCTATTGTTACCAGTTACTTTTTTTTTTTTAGATTAAATCGACTTTTTTTTGTATGCTTGAAGATTCCAAGGCAATATTTTAACTACTGAACATGTGACTATTAAGGAACCTTGCTATTTAAAAAAAAAGAAAAAATCAGTAAACTTCCTAATCCATTAAAAAAAAATACTAACTTACGGTTTCACTGACTTAATGGAAGGAAATTATTTGGAGCCTAAATATCTGACTTTTTGCACAAAATGGAAAAAAAAAACAAAACCCAAACCAAAAAACTTAGATTTTTTTTAAATATACATGACTTCCTATAAATCGTAATACCTGGTTTTATTGTCCAACCTGAATGAAGGAATCTGTAGCATACGGATGTGAAGGCAAACCTGTTTTCAGAACAGTAGTGTAAAATTAATACATTTGGAGGCTCTTTCTAAATTCTGTGAGACCATTCTTGAAGTGTGGGAAGAAATTTGGGGGTTTGAGGCAAAGTATGTAGACATAGATGAAAAAAGCACACACTAGAACTAAAAAGCAGTGCATCTTTTTATTTATACTTGCTTTTCACAGTCGAAGCTTGAACAAAGCTGTTGTCCAAAGCTGTCTGAAATGTTCCAGTCCCTTGATGGTCTGTAGGACTGAGGGACTTTACTGTGTGTAAAACATAGGGCTAGCCACCATCTAAAAACATAGCACTGCTTATGTATGGAAAAACATGTCTGAATGTTACTTTTAGGAATTAAAATTGGTCTCTGAAGCTTTTGATGTCACTGATGTTATTTAGGACTCAAACCAAAAAGTGCTTCGAACCTTCTAAATAAGTTTTGGTTTGTTTTCTGTTCTCATTCCCCCTACGGCATAGATTATTTCGAAGAAGGGTCTTTCTCCTTAGAAATGAAGCATGTTTTTAATGAGATAGTGGCATATTTTCAGTGTAGCATATTGAGTAACCTCAGACAGTGATGCAGCCTTCCCCCCCCCGCCCCCCCAAATGGCCGATGTTTTCTGTTTTCTAATACTACTGTGTCAGAGTGCCCTCACCCGGCCGTTTTGCACACCAACAGCTTAGCATCCCACAGGTTAAATGTCCCTTTAATCTTGAATAGTTTCCATTTCGGAAGTCCATTGTTGAAAATACCGGGAATGATGACCATTTTATCAGAACGAAGTTTTTCATGAGGTTCTCTGAAGACTTTTGTGGTCTGGTTTCTTCAATTCTGCCAAAGAAATAAATAAGTCTTTATTGTTCTACCTCTATTTTTATTTCACAAATCTACTGCAAGAAGAGGGAAAGTCAGAGTCTTTTAAAAATCAGACTATTTTAATTCAGAATCATAAAATGGGACCAAACACTGAATGGAATTTTTAACTTGTATACAAGTTGATAGCTCAAGATAACTGATACTTTGGCAGTAATAAATTGTTTATAATCTCTGAATACTTGGGTTGTAAGCATTCCAAGTAGCTTAAGCTGTTCCAACCTTTAATTCACTGAAGGATTATTGGAAGTGTCCCGAATGTAGCGAAATGAATCCTCCGCTGCCACGACATTGCCACAGATGCTGGGCCCTTCGTGAGGACTGGCTTCCAGATGAAAAGAGCGATAAATTGGTAAAGAGCAAATTAGAAAGTTCCTTCCCCCTGGAGTCTGAAGAAGGTTTTGATGTTCCTGATTGCAAGAAAGTGAAAATTACAGAAGATAAAGAACCAGCTGTAGAGGAGAATGAGGATAAAGCAGTACAAATTTCCGAGTCTCAGGAAAGTGAAGATTATTCTCAGCCATCGACGTCGAGCAGCATGTTTTGTAGCAGTCAGGAGGACTATAAGGAACCCGAGAAGAGAGAAATGCCAGACAAAGAGGAAAGCATGGAATCCAGTCTGCCTGTTACCAGCATAGAGCCCTGTGTCATATGTCAGAGCAGACCTAAAAATGGCTGCATAGTACATGGCAAAACGGGACACCTCATGTCATGTTTTACGTGCGCAAGGAAGCTTAAGAAGAGGAACAAACCCTGTCCGGTGTGCAGACAGCCCATACAAATGATTGTACTAACTTACTTCGGTTAGATGGACGTTGGCTGGCGAGCAGCAAAAGGAGCTTCATAAACTGGTTGAGAGAGTAAGAAACTATTTTTGTATGCGTATTGGAAAATAATATTTTGGGTCTTTTCACATTTGGTATGAAAAGTAATTGCTGAAATAAATGTGCTGGAGTTGTTAGGGGGTTAGCCTAATATTTGTAAGTCAGCTTGAAGACTTTAAATCCCTCTCAACAAAAATGACCAATTCCTGTAAACTACCTGCCTTTCTGAGTGCTTTATGTTCCATACAAGTTAGTGACATTTGTTTTACTGGATTCAATGCACACTTTAAAAACCCAAATTCAATGATTATGAGAGGAGAGACATGTTGAAGAGTTCGTTTATGTGAGTTTCTCCTCTCAAGATACTGGAATCTGGAGAATCTTGTATCTGTTGCCTGGTGAAGACACCAGGCTCAATTGGAACCCTCTGAATAAGTCAATAAAATAGAATTTTGTCTCTCTCATTCCCAAAACTTAAATTCCTCCAAGTAACCAAATTACGGGGGAGATCTTACGATAGAAAAACACTTAAGGTTTTGGAAATAGAAAAGGGTATTGCGTGTCTTTCACAGTGTGCATTGTAAACTTCAGGGCTGTGTGTGTCCTGAGAAGTCATTGGTCCAAGTTCAGTCTTACAGTTATCTCTTAAACGTCCTGAGAAACGGGCTTTTAAAATGCTTTGTGGGTTTGGAGGTCTGTACTATCCTTATTATTATTTTAGCAGCGTGAGAAAAGACTTGGAACAGGCAAGACAAATGAAGGAGGTGCTGTGTAATGTCAGGTAGGGTAATAATAGGGGACAACCTTACTCCTTTTTCTGCACTTGTTTTTGGCTTCAGCAGTATAGCATGCAGCTTCATCACTACATTCGCTTGAATAAAAATAGTGAGGAAAAAAAAGTCCACCTCCATCTGCAGAAACAAGTAAGTTGTGTAGTTCTAGTTCACATAGACATTCTTTAAATTCAGTAGTCTTTCCAACTTAACGCTGTTTTTCATCTGTATCACAAGAATTCTGAAAATGTGTTGCAAGGTGTTTGGCCAACTGAAAATTGGTCGCATTGGACCTGTCCTCGACTGCTTTTAACTCTCGTCTCCTCACTGTACTAGTCAGAAACTTTGTGACACTTACCAGGTTCCTTATTAAGGAGTCTACTGACTCAGTTCCGTGGTGCGTTCAGAGTAGTATAAAAATACCTTAGCTTACAAAAATACTCTCACATGTATCTTCAGGGTGTAGTTAGATGACTCATCTGAGCTGTTTTTCAGATGGAGAGTTTCTGTACCAGTGTGTTGTATTTATTCCTTTGGGAAACTAGATTACAAGAGGAATTGTATGGTTTCAGCGCCTTTTAATTTTACAGATAGCTGCTGATCATCTGCCCGACAGAGAATGGCAAATACGTAGTTTCAGCGTCAGGGGAGTGCCAAGAACGGAGACCTAGCCTAAATGCAGGAATTGTGCTGTGTTGCCGTCCTGCAGGCTGAGGTCAAACAGCTTGCTTACCACCACCAGTGCAAAACTGTTGATGCCTGTGCGCTGGCACAGAGACTTTTACCGCTATAATTGCCTTCATGTCGGAGCTGAAGTAGTTACTCTAGTGTAAAGTGTCTGTAAACTGGGGCTGCAAATGCCTTGGAATACAAGGAAGCGCCTAGGAAAAGGACATAAAGCTGTACAGGAGAGACTCGGTAAACCTTTGGTTGTTACTTGCCTGCAAGGAACTGCCTTCCTAGGTAAAGACTGAATTACCGGGATCAGTCACGATTTGTTTGTACGCTTGAGCTCATTTTTGAAAAATGCTACTAAAAGATACCGGTGTCTCTGAAGTTTTACTGTGATTAATTTTAACTGAACAAAATGTAACCCCCAGCTGTATATGTTTCTTCAAATTCTTACAGGCGAGTTTCTTGCCCCTTGCAATTTGTAAAGCCACAGCGGGTAGCTGGAGGTTCTAGAAGTTCTTTGGTCAGCAGTAACCTTTCATGGGTTTCATGGGGTTTGATAATCCTTCAGCCCGAGACAGAGAAGTCCTGTGGGCAGATGCTTAAATTTTTCAAGCAGGGGTGCTTCTAATAGATGGCTACCTGCCTTAATTCACACATCATTCATTTTTGATTTGATGGACTTCAGTGCAGTGAAGGTTGCAGAGGCTCTTCCATTGCACCCGCAGGTCAGAACCCAATAGCGGTCATACCGCGGTCTGGCATCGACAGCTGAGAGAGAATTGCGGACGTGTATATGCAGGAGAAGCATTGATAACCTTGGGGCTGTACTTAAAAAGCTTCGTCCATTACATCGTCTCCTACGTCTTATGCTTTTTCAGTGCGATACCTTCTCTGCGGTCACTGTGATGGCTGTGTAACTGCAGTCCTGGGAGAGCAGCTGTTCTTACCTAGTTCCTACTGGGACAAAGTGTACTGTACTGTCCCACTCCTGGCATTCTCTTTTCACTTCCCTTAAGTGATCTCTGTATTTAAAAAAAAAAAACACAAAAACAAAACAAAACAAAAAAAACACCAAAAAAACTTCAGCTCAAAAAAAAAAAAAAGAAAAAAAGGCACGTATGGTCAGAGTGATGATCCTTGCCGTTCACAACCGCTCGGCTTTGGGATTTTTCTTCAAAACCAATTTCATCTCCTACTAATGCTTTATGCTTTGGCAAAAGATAAAGTGAGAGCATACAGCATGATGAATTTCCCCTTTCATGATCTAAAATTGTATTTCCCTAGCACATCTCCTGTTGTGGAGAATAGCCCTGGAAATACCCTCCACTCCGTACAGTGCTGAGGAAATGGGTAATTTTGATTTCTGCATCTGTGGCCAAGCTACTGTGCCAGAGTGAATCTTTGTTTTGAGTTCTATTTTCTGATAGCAACTTCTAGTGAAACTGTAGGGCTTTTTGTTTGTGGTGATGTTTTCTTTTTTTTTTCCCCCAAGGCATGCCTTATCAATAGGGGAGCGGTGAGCGTGGGTGCCTGTTCCAGCTCCTGTAGCAGACGCTGGCAGGCAAGCGCGCCTGCCTGCGGGGTTTGGGGGCTGCGTACGTGACGTTGTGACCCCAGCCCCAGCCGGGACGGGCGTTCAGTCCGAAAGGCTGAAACCCTTGGGTCTGCCCCTGTGCCGTCGCCCCGACCTGCGCTCGGTACCTGCCGGGTGAGTGGTGACCAGCCCGGTGTTTGTCGCTCTGCTCTTTCTCTCCTGTAAACAGTTTCTGCCCTTGGGTAGCGGCACGGAAGAAATTGACAATTGTCTGTAGTTGATGAGGTCTTTGAGATTCTTATTTAATATCATACAGATTTTAATCTTTAATTTATTGCAGTTTGTAAATATTCTTGTGCTTACAGTTAGTGTTTTGAGCTTTAATTTATTGAATTAGTCTATTGGTACATGGGTAGGTACATAAATACGTATACTTAGTAAATCACAGTCACAGGAAACTTATTTAAGAAATTGTAGCATTAAAATAAAATGGAATACTCGGATGATATTCAGATTAAGAGGGGTGCAGGAAGACTTATGGCTTTGTTCTCTTTTTTCCTTCCCTGAAAACGACGACTGCGTTGAACCTGAACAACATTTCTTAAATAGAGATGGAGGCTGGTGGAGCGTTAGCAGAGTGAGAATGTTTTGATGGTGCTTGTTTTCCTTTGGAATGCTTTTGCATCTCCGAGGACAGCCAAGACGCTAACTGACGGCCTCGTTGTGCTGGTGACATTGGAGGTGATGGTCTGGAAGGTGCGGTGAGGTGATGAGAGGTTTCGAGGTTAATTTGCAACGGATGGTAATTGCTTTTGCCTTTGAACACGTGGCCAAGAAAGCCGAAGGGATGGCCAGATGCTGACAAAATGTGGCAGTACGCGATTTCCAGTAATTGTTTTAGTCTGTTCCTTCGTGCGCTTCAGGTAGGCAACAGCTAAGTACAAACGCTACAAGAACCCGCATTTCTTCTTTTTTATAAAGTACAATAAACCCACTTTCTGATTAAATTAGACTTTTTCGCTGTGTAGCTATTTATTAGTATTGAAATGCAACCCTTGACCCGAGGAGGCGAAATGCAAAGTGAAGTACTCGAGGCAGGTGGCAAAACTGCTTTGTTTCAGTGCCTGACATTTGCTCAAGAAGGCTGGAAGCATTGAACATTAAAATATTTGAGAACCTTTAATATCGCGTCTTAAGATTTATTAGTTACAAAGTCTGCTGCTTTTGTCCTTCAAAAAACTTGCACAGTTGAAACAGAAGTAGCTGGATTGCCGATTGTGCTGAACATCCACGCTGCAAAGAGGACGCTTTTTTGCTGAGCAGCGCCCCTTGAATGTTGGTTGTTAGTGTTACCGGCGAGGACACGGGAAGAAACGCGTGGCACCGGAGGCTGCGGCTGCCGCTTCGGTTAGCAGGCTGGTTTGGAAGGGGTAAAAGGGCTACACAATTTTAACTGATGAAAAGTGTTGTGGCGTGGTACGGTTTTATCGCCGAGTTCTGATTGCTGTGAATTTGCTTAAATGTCGCTGTCTCAGGAATGTCTGTCTGTGCGGGTATGAAGCCACATGCCAGACTTCGGGCAGATCTTTCCCCTTGAAGGCTAATGTGAGGGAAAAACAATTCCTTATTCTTACAGAAAGCGTTGACAGGAGTAGTTGTTTCAGAAAATTGTGTTCTTGCAAAAGCAAGATTAGAAAATATTTAGAAGCATAATGAAACTGAATAAATTGAAAAAATAGGATTAGTATAGGGGTGAAGAACTTTTCTTTCCCGTCTTAATCTAAAGATGCTGTTGTGTCAGGGCGCAACTTTACAAGGAGAGTTTATAATTTTAAAGCAGTTAATTTATTCAGCCAGTTAACCTGCCGCACATACGGTAGGGTGCCAGTTATCTCAGGAAGAAACGACATTGTGTTGTGCAACACTTGGCCTAAAAAGGAACATTTGCTGATGTGGTGCTTCCCGGGGCAGGGAAGAGCTTGGAACACGTGTACGGGCGTCGCGTTCGTACCGGTTCTCAGCTCTGTTGGCCACTCTCGATTATTCACGGTGCCGGCAGGCGGGTGCAGGCTTTGAGCATCTGTAGGGTCACCTGTGTACTTAACAGAGGACGTTACGTGGCGTGCTTGTGCTCTCCGTGCGTTATTGGACCTCCAGCCTCGGGGAGCGGGGCCAGCGCTTCCCTAGAGCATCAGCCCTCCCGGCTGGCAGGCGCGTCTCTCTGCTCCGCGGGGATTACCTGCCCCGCTGACTGAACTTCTCCGGCTCGTCCATTCCTGAGTCAAAGCCTTATTTTCTGGAGTTACTGGTCAGTTAAAGGTTGCGCAAGCAATCTAAAGCAAAAAAACGAAGAAATCCTCTGAAATGTAGCTTAAGGAGTCCTTTAACAACGAATGAGTTGCACTTACCGAACATGGAAAAAAGGGTTGCTTTTAACTGATGTGTGCTTTTTTTTTTATTTAGCACAGATGCACTGAAAGCTTCAGGTGAACGCTTCTATACGTGTGTGTGTATGTGTTTGTGTGTGTATATCTATATATGCTACATGTAAAATTTGTTGGTGAGTGATACTTAGAAAGGTGTTGTCTCCCCTTTTGAGTAGACGTTGCTTTAACTTAACGGCCCGACTTTGTTCTTGTTACTGAGCTAAATTAACGGCCGCCAACATGACTATTACATAAGCCGTAAAATACCAAACAGCTTGTCCAAAAGCAGTCTTGCTTTGTCGTCTGACTACGCGTCACTGGAATGACTATTAAGCAGACGGGTTTATAGTGAACTTAAATAACTAGGCGATCTTGCCGCTACTCCTAGATGAGCACGCTTTCAAGAACTTGTCACGCTGCGTACCGTCTAGATAACCAGTGCATGTGTTGCCACAGCAGGTAACCGTTAAAATACAAGTACCCCCTCGAGTTGCACAGAGTATATAGCTCCATTTATGACAAGAATTTTCACGTGTATTGTGTCTGCCTCTTGGTTTCCAGTTTTTCCTTTGCTGAGGAAACTAAATACTATGTTCTGTCTAAAAAGCCTTAAATAAAGATTTGTTTATATACTCCTTGGTGTGCTCTCTTTTCACGTCAATGACTTGATTTTTAGAAGTTCTGCTACTTGGTTTTCATACAGATTTTTAGTTCTGTGCACCGGTGTGTGCAGGCTCCTTCTGCCCTCACTGGGGGGCCGCTGCCTCCTCACAGATTTCATACTTTTGGGGGATTTTAAACTCAAGGGGGCTCTAGTTCCTCTTGCTGTAAGTGACAGAATCAGAACCGAGTATCAGTGGAAGGATTAGTGGATGATTATTTACTCCTCTGACTGGTAAACAATCCACAGCAGTTCAGAGGGGGAGAAAAGTTAGAAAATCCAAACGGACACAATGAAAACACTCAAAAAACAGTATCTTGCACACAGAGCCCTCATTCCACCTCGGCATTGCTGTTTCAATTTCTAAAGTGTATTTACAACTTTGTAGGCTGCACAGAATCCGGCCAACGGGCAGATGAGGGGCTGGGGGTAGGGCTTGGCGTGAGGGGCAGGAGCGCCTTTTCAGTGGAGGCAGTGTGTTTAAAAAGGCATCAAAAGACTAACTGCGTTCCTGCAATTTTATTTACTGCGCACAGGAAAAGATTGATGTTTCCAAAGATAATCTCTTCTGGTTACTTTTGAAATCGGTTAAGAAAATTACTGGCAGATAAGGTTTTAAAATGAAGACGGGAGATGGTACTAACTGGCCTTTCTTGATAAATTTTGTGTTTATTGGACCATTTCAGAGGGCCCTGAGAACGCCTTGCCAAATTCGTCTTGGCCGGGCGAAAGGACTCTGCTCGTGCCGCACAGGAGACAGCCCAGCCAGGGGCACACGGGCAGCTCGGCCGTCACCAAAGCCAGCCTCTGTAACAGGATCTGGTTTGCGCCTTGCTGAGTGTGCCTGCCAGCTGCTGGCCCGTGTGAGACGTGGCCCAAACGGGGTGGTGACAGGGCTGTGCAACATAAACAAACACTCTAAAGCCATTGCTAAAACTAGTCAGATTAAAAAATTCTGAATTGTATGCGGTTCTGTTCCATACCGAATCTGGTAAAAAATGGCCAGCAGCAACGGTATAAAGCTGTAGATGACCGTTTCCGCGTTGTTTTCAGCAGCTCTGTCTTAGAGGAACGCAGTTTTCAGAGACCTGCGTTAGTTACGCTCTGTTGCCTGACGGCACAGATTATCATCAAGCTTCCAGCAACGTGGCCCTTGGCCGCATACTTACACTTCATTATTTCCATCTTCCTGTCTTACAACGTGTCTGTGTCACTGGTCTTTACCTTATTTCAGCCCTGAGCAGTCTCATCTGTCTAGGTAAGACCGAGCGTACGTAAAAATGCCGTTCCTCATTTACAGCAGTGGCTTTGTTATGAGAAATGGGGATTGAGCTAACCGCTTACAGTTGTGTGGCACGTCAGCTGTTGGTTCGCCGGGGAACCTGAGTTGGCATGAAACCTTTGCAGTACAACCCTAGACTTTTTCTGAACTCGGGCAGGTTCTTCAGAATGTATGTGTACTCGCTGCATCAAAATTCTCCAGTTATCGCCACAGGCTGTACAGAATTTCTTTAGAGTAAAACATGATTGATAGTCTATTATAATTAAAGAAGTAAAACATTTGATTGTCAAGCCAGTATTTTACAAAATACAGTAAACATGATTGTAAATCTGAGGATTTGGTGTAGATGCAAAAGAATTTATGTTTTGTACAATTCCTTGTCTGAAAAGCCACATTTGTGCGGGAAGATTTTGCCTCACCCCGTCATGTCATTCCTGACTTTATTTGAAATTTACAAGCATAACAGTCATTAAAACCAAGACGTGTAGAGTTGGTTTTACTGCAGCTGAAGCCCGTTCGAGCTCTTGGTAGAGGGGAGTTTTGGGACACGAAGCAGCTCGCGATCTGATAGAGACTTCTGAGAAAGAGAAGTCGTGTTTCAAAGCACTGAAGTTGCCGGTATTGTCGTGTATTTCCACTGTCTTCAGCATCGGTTTAAATCCCGGTACAGTAGCCTAGGAGCAAACATGAAAGATTTCTTACTTGGCCTGAAGCGTTGAGTCCAGCTGTGAAACAATCATTATCTAACACGTTTACTTACACTTTCAACGTACAGGAAAAGCGTTCCAAACGTAAGTTTGAGAACACGGAATGAGAAAAGAGTAAAGTTTTTCACGTTACAGCAATAAGACTAAACCCCCAAAAACCCTGAGATGAAAACAGAATATTTATTTATAAGAGGGGTGCACCACATGCTGTACAGGAGAGGGAATCCTGCAGTTACGCTTAAGCGTAGGCCCTGCCTGCTGCCAGCCAAGGGCTTACGCTGCATGGATGTTCTCTAATACCAGCTACTGACAACCTCCGCAGAGAAGCCGTTTTGACCCAAGGAAATAACTGTCAACCGATGGCGGCGTCAGCCCGTCGCTGCCTGGGGCTACGTGGCTCCCAGCCTCCACCTCCTCACCCTCCAAGAGCTCTGCGGTTTGTTTCAGACGCCTCAAGCTAGCGTCACCGTGGTCCGGATGCTCATCCCAGCTGGCTCCACCATCCAGGTCAGATGAGAGCTTATCTCTAGAAGTTCTGGGGACTTGACATCTTACCGTATCAGAAAAATTTCCTTTCTGCTGACTCATGTTTTAAAGGTATTATTTATTTTCATTTAAATCTGCTAGAGAGTCTTTACAGCTCCCGTGTGTGACTTGAGCAAGTTCAGCCCGTTGGTCTGTAGGGATGCAGTCTCGCTGTGCTCAGGAACTCAATGCAATTAGAAACAATAATTTGGTGAGGCCGCACACTTACATTGATCACGTAGGTCCCAGGCAAAAGGAGAAGAAAGTACTCCCCTTGTTCGTTTGTTCTGTAGGGGCAGATGTGAGGCCTTCCTTTGGCTTCCACGATGGCGTTGGGAATAGGATTCCCATTCTTATCAGTAACTTGACCCTTGACACCTATGAAAAAGGGAGAGGAGAGAAAGATCACAACCTGTAGCTGCCGTGAGCCTCCTTCTCTGGGAAAGGCGGATTGACTGTTGCTGGAGGCACTCTAAGGCTATTTCAGCGATTTCGAGGACATCTAGTATCACTAGGCGCTTCTATCTTACTGAAGGGAATTTGCTCAGGAAATCCTTTGTTGTTGTTGTTGTTGTTGTTATTAATAGTTTACCCTCATATTAAGTCAGAAAGCAGCGTTGTAATCTGCTTCTAAATCTCTTTTGTTGAAAACATCGTGTATACTTATTGTACATGTCTTTTACTGAAGGGCTTCAATCTTCAGTACTGGTTGGGGTTTTTTTTGCCTTTTTTTTTTTTATTTAAAATAAGTCAGCCTCTTATCTAGTACTTCCCAATGGCAGAATACCAACAGTGTCTGCTGGGATTAAGCAAAGATAAAACAGCAGTCAGACATTCTGGGCAACAAAATGCAAGATAAGCAACAGATTTATGCAAACCCTTCAACTCATTGTAAAGTACCGCTGCTTCACTAAGCCGCAGCTCTCTTCCAACTGTGAGGTCAAGATCGCACCTAGAAAAGCCTTACAAAAATACCAAATCCAAGCAGCAGAGACCCATGAAACATTGTCCACACGCGCACACACATTTAGAGACCTCTGGAATAAACGACTGCCCCGAGGCTGCTCAGGAAAGCGACTCCCTGGGCGGGGTGTATGGTAGATGGCCCTTGCTCCTGCCCCAGCGCATTTTAAGGCCCTTGCACCACTGTAGTAGTGCCCATTGCCTCACACCTGACACACCTGTAAGCTCTCCTCCCTCACCCATCCCTGGCCTTGCAGCACTTGCTCTTGAGAAGCCATAGCTCCCACGTCCACGCCAGAGCTCCTCACCTGTGAGCTCTGACACTGGCCCAGGCTGCTGAAGAGTTCCCGCTTTGCCCACCGGCCTGGCCTCAGCTTTAGCTCCCTTCCCCCTTCGCGTACCCACCTATATGTACTTGTTTTATATATTCGATCAGAGCAACTTTGTTGTCTCTCCAGAACTTTTCCAGCTGGTCTGCTGGAGGATATTTACAGCATGACAGCTCCAATGTAATTTCAAAACATTGTCCCCAGACATAGTTGTAATCTTGCATTCCACCTTAAAAGTGAAATAAAACAAACAGTGTTCAGCTGCAAAGAAGCACCAAGTTCAAGCTAGAAGAAAAACAGGAGAGTTAAAATGTTGGTACTTGCATCACACCTGCAAGAAAAGTAAATCAGATAAAACTATTCCTCAACGTCACACTTGTATTTACTACCGCCTGTGGAAAACCAACTTGATTACTCTAGTTACATATCGAGTGGGGTTTTCTAAAGCACAGTGGCGTTTCGGGAATGATGATTATTATGGCTGAGGAAGGGCGGGTCTTTGACTTAAATTCATTCGAGCACTCCCAACTAAATAGGGGCAGATAAATTCACAGGCTGGCACAGAGTTTGCCACTGCCAAAGCCACCCTAAGAGCCTTTTAAGGCTTTGAATTCCGACTGAAAACAACACGCAGTGCCACAGTACACACGACCCATATTCCATTTGGCTACACATAAACAATAATGAAAACATTTATTTCAGTAATCAAACATTTAAAAAAAGGATGATATATGAGCAGAAGATTGGTTTTCTTTCTGAAAGGACAAGACCTCGGTGCCACACCAGTGCGTGTGCGTGATCTATACAGCTATGCAGGCCTTAAGAACGGGCACAGGAGCAGCCAGACGGCAGAGACTGCCTCATTCACTTGTGTAACTGCTGACTGGGAGTCTGCAAACACCCACGTCCCGCCCAGAGAATCCGCGTGAACGCGTTGGCTTATTCCCCTCATCAACCCTCTACTCTGGGCAAAATCACAGCCCTTTCGTCATCAAAGATGGCAGGAGAAAGTGAGAACATCATATCTGAAGCAGCTGAAAAAAATATCACTGACATTCTTACCTTCCAGCTGGTACCAAGAATACCCGTTGGTGATGCCTTCTGGAAAGGGTTGTCTGTTGTCACACCCAGTCCCTTTGTACATGGTGGCATGGTTGAAAGAATAGGTTTTTGCCAGATGAATAAAGACATCATCATCTGGAGACCTGCTATAGCCTTTCAAAGAGCCGGTAACTGCAGAATAAAGGTAGCCATCGTGTAACTCGCGTTACTGGTAAAACATACAGTGCTGCCTTACATACAGGATAAACATCTCCCAAATAGCTGTATCAGGCAGTGAATTTTGATGGGGTTTATCAAAGTCTGCCCATCCCAGCTCAAAAGCTGGAAAAACCTTGCAGAAATCCTTACAAATTTTGCTTTGGTACAGCTAATGATCCTAAACCAATTCAGCTGTGGAGAAGAGAGTTTGTTACTAGCTTACCTGAGTTACCATTATCAAAGGTGTAACTGGCAACCAGGGCACCCCCGTGCAAGTTTGCCGAAAGAACAAACGTTTCATTTTTTATCCAGTTCATTACTGCTTGAGTCTCTGGCTGAATGCTAACGTTGTTATCTTCAAAGGCATCAGGAAAATTTCTGTTCAGGTCTTCTCCGTTCTTATTGTACCTTAGAAAGAGAGAAGACATTCCCATTACCGTTTTGCCTATAGGTGCTCCCACGTCGCCAGCCTCCCAGTACTTAAGGTCTGTGGCATGCTAGTGTCTTCAGGAGACAGGCAAGATGACCATTGCAAATCTCAAGCATTAAGAAGATGGACTTCCGTTTGCTTTCTGGCAGCACTGGAATTTTCATAGGACACCATAAAACAATTCTTCTCCTCTATTTCAGGTGGAAACAGCGAATAATATTTAACATGCGTATGGCATGCTCACACCTACACATACGTGAATTAGAAAACCCTAAGCCAGATAAGGAGGCTGTTGTCCTTCTGTACATGTTTTTCACTCTTGCATAGAAGACCAAGGTAACTACTGGATGGCTGTGTCCCTTGTGCCGCTGTCACTCTGGACATAGAGCAAAAAATTTGACTCAAACACGGGATGCGTTATTCTCTTCCCTCTGTACCTGAAGGTCCAGCCTGCGCAAATGTTTTCTTCCTTTTTCACTCACACAGGTCAGTACAGAGAGTAGAGAGGGTGTTTAGCATCAGCTGTATTGATTTTTAAACTCAGTTAGTTAAACTCTGTCCATTTGACAGTGAAGGGATTAAATATCCCACCCTCCATAAAATCCTATCTATTTGCTGAGGAATAAATTTCTTTCCTAGTAAAAAGGAGGGCCTACACCGGTCACCTAGAGAACTAAACTACCTAAACTACCTTTTCACTTGCTTCCGACGTTGCCATGGCCAGTGATCCAAGAGAACTTCTAGCACATGAGTTTGCTTTTTCTGCACATTCCAACTTTGTCCCTTTGGCATTTCTTCCCATTCTCTCACTCTCTCTTCTTCTTCCCTCTTCTAGCTTGTTAAACTTTTCCTCCCCTTTTTGGTCTCTGCAATAGTTACATTAAAGAATGCAAAAGTAGCACAGGATGCAATGCGTAAGTTTTTTTCCTAGCACTACTATTAGCACAGCACCTATTGTAGCTAGCTCTGCTTGCGTAACTCCTCCCTCTTACTAGATCTGCATTCGACATGATCTTTAAATACATTTCTAGAAGTTCATTCAACAAGCTTAGACACACCTTTTTCTCATTAAGAGGGTTACAGAGTTCTCCAATTGAAATAGATCCCTGTGGCTGGAGTTTTCCTTCTTTTTTTTGTAGCAACCTAAAGGTTTAAATAGGTTATTGTGCTTCTGTTCGCAACCTGGGTGTCCTGCCTGAAAGGCTAGGTCATTACACCATTCTGAGCAATTTCCTCTAGCCACACCACGTATAAACACCAGTCTGACTCAAGTCTTCCAAAAACTCTATGCTGTAACAGTGCGTCTTCAGAACAGCACCAGCCAAAATTAGCCCTAACACATCCTCTAGGCTATCCTCTCCACCAAGTATGATTCAGTCTCTTGGTTATCTCCGATTATTACTCCCCACCCATTTTCTTTACCTACTCCCACCCTCCTAAGCCATCCTTACCTTCCTTGTGTGTAATAACAATCAGGTACTTTTGTAGCTTCAAATCCATCAGGATTCATCGTTGGCATGATATGAATCCGGGTATTATTGAGTAACCGGGTAATAATTGGGTCACGTCTATAGCTGGTCACCAGGAAGTCTATCAAATGGAGCAGGATTTCTCTCCCAACAGTCTGTATAAAGCAGCACAGATTTTATTTTAAGTCTGCTACAGAAGACGAAGAAGGAAAAAAAAAAAACCACCCAAAAACCCACCACCTTGCACTTACAGATTTTTCTTACTGGATTACAGACACATAAAAGGCATACAAGAGCATTCTGGTCAACACCGTTTTGTTTTATGTTCTCCCCTAAATGTATTTAAAGTAATTTAATACATAAAAGGAGTCACTGGAGGGTTGTCACAAGGGTTTTAAACCTCAATCAACCAGAGCTTTTTCTGTAATGGGAAACTGTGTCAGCTGCACCTTAAATCCCGCATGGATGCCCGAGGGACCCCAGGCCCTGCACATAAGCATCAGTGCTGTGCATCACCACTTGGCAGTGATGGTTCAGAAGAAAGGAAGGAGACACCTTCCATGTTTTCCAGGGTGCTACAGAGCAGGATTTTTTTCTTGTTGATGCCCTTTCATGGGAAGTCAACTTTAATACAGGATCAAGAGAGGCCCCATAGATGCTTCTGTTATATTCTCTGTTACATTGCTTTATTTTAATGCCATGAACACAAGCATTGGGGAAACCAAACAGGTATATATAAATCCTTAGGAAAAGAGATGGAAGGACATTTGGATGCAGACTTTGGATCAAGGAAAGGTAGCATCAGAGAAAAAGCTAAATGCGTATTTTTGTTCATTTAAGTTTCTATAGTTCGTGAAAGCTGGCAGGACATCTCCCTTCGGTCTATTCTATCAGATTTCAGGCAAAATAGTGGCAAGTTCCAGATCCAGTGAGTTAAGAACAATCCTGTTCTAACCCAGAAACCACTAGGACAGTGTTCACTGGACCATACTTTACAGGAGTACTTTCTATAGCACTGTGACCCGTGCCTCAAGGGTGTTGTAGGGTTCCTAAGCCCTGGCTGGGATGGGAACAAATCAAGACTTGCAACTAGATGTGCTCTGGAGATAATTTATCTCTACTTTATCTCCAAGAACAAAGCCTGGTAAATCACTGCAGGCTCCAGTTCAGAGCTACAGCGCCTGAGTGTCTTTTAGAATGAGTCTTGCATCACTAAGGTGGAAATACTGCAAAGAATTTTTCTTTTTTTTCTAAAGTGAGGAACACGGAGCGGCATTACTGGATGAACCTGGTATCACAGATAAACATCTTGCTTTCAGACTGGTACAGGCTAAGGTAAAAGGTAGGTGAAATCAGTCAGGTGAAAAGGAGTATTTCTCCACAGCTGTTTGCTGCAATAGTATCTTTTTCACATTGGTGCATTTTAAGTGGCAAGTCCTGCTCTGGGTGTTGAGGTAAACAGGAACGCAGACACCATCCAGCAGGAGCTGGGTTGGTACACGACAGGGCAAGGAGGGCTGGGTATAACTGCTGTTCAGGTTGGGAACAAACCATATCTTGCCAGTTAGCCGTCAATTGCTGTTTATCGCAGGAGAAAAAAAACAAACAGTGTAGTGCCAAACATGACTCCGCTAAGTTGCGGATCACACCATTTTACGTGTCATACTTGAAGGCAGCCATGGTCTCCGAGTTGGTGCTTGAGCAATTCTGCCATGCTGTTTGTACAGGGAAAAAGAAGGACCTCTTCCCACCCTGCCCCCCAGCAGATTTGTTCCCAAGTTTTCTAACCCTTGCCTGTCAGCTCCTGACGGTCTCCTGCAAGCCACCATCTAGTAATCCGCTAGGGGAAGCTGCATCACACGAATGCATTTACTGTCCCAATAACTAAGTGGTTCTTTTTCTAGACGCTACAGCAAATGGGCTTTCACAAGGGGAGAAAAGTTACCTAATTTCCTCCATTGCCAGTAGCTTTCAAAACAGCACCTGAGTACATGAAAGCAGACTGCTCTGCAGGTTTGATAAATTTACTCCGTGAAATTTAAGAAGTGATGCAACAGAACCTGTCTTGTACAGGCAGCTCAGTTCCAGCTCTGGGTGATAGACATCTTGGGAAACATACAGAGCTGGGAGGGGGGAAAGGAGGGGAGAGAAGTCAGTCAAATCATGGCCCTGGGCATGAGAGATAAAGCTAGCAGACTCAGAAGCGACAAGAACAGCCCTACCACAGAGAGAGCTAAACTACAGACAAGACTGGACTGCTCTCTGGAGGAACTGGGAAAGTGCCTCTGCTCCTACTGTACTTCTCTTCAGTGCCTGACAAAAAGACATCCAGAAAAGAAAGGGTAGAGAAGCAGGAACAGGAGTGGGAAAAAGATAAAGAAAAGCAACAAGAGAAGGTGGTGTAAAAGGACAGTGTTTATAAAGAATGGAAGATGACCAGTTTTTCATGGATGACATTCTTTGCACTTAAGAGTTAAACCCACTTACTTACATATACGGTATTTTAAAAAACTAACCCTATTTTATAGGATTCCTTGTATAGCTATTACTGTACCTGAGTACTTAGAACACTAAACAATTCGGCTAATCTCTATCACAGAGGGCTGGTACTTTGATCATTCCCCAGTGGGGGAAGAATGTATTTATTACCACTCTGTTTTGGTGGAGTGACAGAGGGTTGGTTTTATTTTCATCCAGAAAATAAAAATGCATCCTTGCTTTTCTCGAGAAAGCACATCTGGAGGTGTTTGAGGGGAAGAAAAGGGAAAGTTTTCGTTTCTGGAAAAGTATAGCTCAAGTTTTGATCTAGCCCTTGGAAGTCATCTCCTGCCCAGCCAAGCTTTACCCTGTTACTAGAGAGGTCAACTCTACCTGTGGAGAAAAGTTTGAGACATTTATTTTTACTTTAGAGATTCAAATAAAGGATCTAGACACAGTGGAGGTAGGTTGCTGACAGTAAAGTCAAGGACAGACACCTTAACCTGCCTCTAGTCTAACACAAAGATGTAGAGAGCAGGGGACAGCCTTTCTGTGCTCTGGGGCTTTGAGAATACGTGATGAATATTTGGTTTTAATTGCAGTATCCCAAGGGTGATGCCCAGGTGCATTGTTTTGCTGTAGCTCAGATGAGGGGTGACACAAAAGCAAAGGAAAACCCTTTCTCCCACCTCTAGGGACACAGACATTAAGTTTCTCTGTGCACTTTCAGCTGTCAGTTTCCTTGCGTGCCCC